AGGAGATGATGCTCAAAAGTAAATGGGCCAGACTACCAAGAACCTAAGTTTCAGGCTAGATAGCAAAGCCTTTTCCCACGAAAATAGGGCACCCTGGGAAGAGGCTGGTAGCATAGGGATATTGTAGGGTGTAAGTTTAAGTCAGCAGGCCAAGTGTTAGAGAGGGGGACTCTGACTTAAAAGCAAAATGTTTCCTTTCTTTTCTTCCTTCCTTTTTTTTTTTTTTTTTTTGAGGCAAGGTCTCACTATGTAGTTCCAAATATCCTTGAACTCACAGAGGTCTGCTTGCCTCTACTTTCCAAATTGAGATTAAAGGTATTTGCCAGTATGCCCAAGCCTACTAAAGGATTTGTATTGCATTTCATTGTATTTAAATTTATTTTTGAGGGTTTCGCCTGCATATATGCATATGCACTATGTGTATCCATATCTGAGGAATTCAGAGGAAGGGGTTGAATCCCCTGGAACTAGACTTATAGATGTTTTCAAACCTCCATGTGGGTGCTAAAAACCAAACCTGGGCTCTTGGAAGAACAAGGGCTTTTAACTACTGAGCCATCTCTCTAGTCACAAGTAGAGTTTTAAAAAGATGAAAACTTCTAGACAGTATGGGATCATCTCTACTGTCCTATAGTCAAGTCATTTCATTCACAATTATGACCTCATTGGCCCTTTTGGGTAACAGCTTGAGACTCCAATGTGAGATCATTGGGGTGGGAGAGGGTTAAAACAAGGAGACTCACGAAGCAGCCAAGGCTAATGTCCAGGAGGAGCAGTAAGTATGTAAATTTGAAATGCAATTAAAACAAGAAAGGAACTTGGTAAAAGAAACACGTTAATGAAAATGCATTAACCCACCAGAAATGTAAAAAGCAGTCTAAAACAAGAGGCAAAATGACACCATCTGGCACAATTTAAAAAATGGGCAACCCCAGAGTTTTCCTTGGGGACTACTTAGTTACATAAATCAGGGGTCAGACAGACATTCCCACCCCTGGTGTTCTTGGAAGCCAAAATGACCAAGCTATATCCCCGCTTCCCTGGATCCAATCTGAGCAAAATTGCCATGGTGGCTGTTTCCATGGAAGTGCCATCTCCATGACCCCCAACACTGCTGCTTAGCATATCCCCACCCCCAGCAGCTAACTCTTCTTATAATTTTCATTTTAAAATTGTGTGTGTGTGTATGCGCGCGCACACACACACACACACTCGGGCACACATGAGGAGGCCAGATCAGGACACCCTGAGACAGGATCTCTCACTAAATGTGGGGCTTGCCAGTTTCTAGCTGAGCTGCTTGGCCAGCAGATTCCAGTAATCCTCATGCCCATGGGCTCAGCATGACGATGGCTAAAGGTCTTATCCACTAAGACACCTCCCCAGCCCCAATGGTTAATTTATTTTAGTTAAGTTTGAGACTGAGGCAGAAGGGTTACAAAGTAAAGAACAGCAGCTTGTTACACAGTGAGACTCTGTCTCAAAAAACCAAAAATCTGGGCCAGAGTTAGAGTTAGGTCTATGTGCTTGCTAGCAAACCTCACTACCTGAGCTCAACCCCCAGGTTCCATGTGAAAGAGGGAACAGGCTCCCACGAGTTGTCCTCAGACCCATGGTACGTGTGTACCCAAACCCACATGCAATAGGTACATGAAAGTAATAAAAATTAAAATAGAAAGCTCAAAAAAAAATCTATGGAATGGCGATAAGTATGTCTAATGTTTTTTTCTTACAATGGGGAGACAGCAATGGTGAGAACAGAGTCATGTAATTTTTAATAAGAAAGAAACAGCAGTGTTCACATGTCAAACTATTATTCGGCAAAATTATGCCTGGGTTTGAAATAAGCTTACCAAGTCCAGAAAGCCTCATTTACACACGCATCTACACCCAAGAACCGAAATGCTAGAGACATTTTTCATTTTTCCTTCTCTCTGAGGTGAACATCATTTCATTTTATAGGGTGGATCTTTAATCTTCATCTAAAACAACACAACAAGTGGCTGTTGAGAGTTACAAAGTCAGTGTCTCCTGGAGCCCAAACTCAGCAGTGCAGAGTGACAAGAGGCAACAGCCGGCAAAGGGAGGGTACCGGGCCTGAGGCAGCCAACAACTCCAAGCCGAAGGGACCCTTAAAGCGCAAAGTCTCCAGGCGGGCGAGGAGAGGTGGCCAGCAGGTGCCAGGAGAGGATGGACCAACAGTGACAGTGCTCCCTGAGCAGGAAAACTACCAACCCGCGCAGCTGTTACCGAACTGTGACAGGCAGAGCAGGGAAGCCACACAGTCAGGATCTAGTCTGCAGTGATGGTGGGGGGTCCCTACAAACCGAGATTCTCATTCCACTACAGTGCCCAACAGTGTCAGGCAGATGACTCTGCAGAAGTTTGCTTCAAGCACAAAGCAAAAACTGGTTTAAAGTTATGTTTATATGCAAATCAAAAACTAAAGCTTTAAAATTTAATCATTAAAGATTAGGGACTGGGGTGTGTATAGCTCAGCAATAGAGTGTTGCCTAGCATAAACAAGACTCCGTGATCTATCCCCAACACAAACAAACAAACCAAAAATATGCTATAATTGTTTAATTATAGTACTCCCAGCACTTGAGAGAGGGGGGCAGGAGGACCAAGAGTTTGAGGCTACCTAAAATGCTGGAAGCCAGCCTGGGCTACTTGAGACCCTGTCTCAAAGCAGAGAGACAAACAAACAATGCATATATGTCTGTATGTATAAATAATTACATTTACAAGGAGACCGATGGTTAATCTGTATGTTTCATTTAACCCAAAGCTTCACTTTTATGGTATTAAGAAAACATTAAAGTATTAGTGATTTCATTTAGCTTAAAACTCTTGCAGAAAGGCAGATTTTATTAAAACATGCAGTCAAAACAGATACTGACATAAGTATTCAGAAAGGCTGTCTAACAACCTATTTGCTACCATCATAGAGTATGTTGTATTTGTTAACTGAATGTTGCTTTAGGTTTTTTTTTTTTTTTTTGGGGGGGGTGGTTGTTGTTTTGTTTTTATTTTGTTTTGTTTCTTGAGACAGGGTTTCTCTGTATAGCTTTGGAGCCTGTTCTGGAACGCCTGCCCGTTGCCTCCTGAGTGCTGGGATTAAAGGTGTGTGCTACTGCCAGCTGCTTTAGGGGTTCTTATACCGCAAAACTGAATGGACCAAACATTTAAAAAGGAGACCATTATGTACTAACTTCTCAAAGAGACAACTTTCAACTCTACAGATAATTTCCTAGCCACGGTCTCGTGGGAAAAGAAACGTGCTGTGACTGAGGAAGGGACACCCCATCTGGCTGTAACATTCCCCAGTCTGATGTTACAGAGCTGTCCTCGAGCAGACTGAACAGTGGCTTAGTGCTTCGTCATGAGTTCTGTTGTTTCATGTAACATGAAAGCACCATTTTATCCTTGTTATATACAGTTCAGTGTGCTGTATTCAAATGCTGTAAACTGTCACTGCCACCTACTTCCCAACTATACCATCACCTTGGACAGATACTCAACATACACCGAGCAATACTGAGTGCTTCTGGTAAGAGAAAATTAAGATACAAAAATCATAGTTTTGTGGGAACCATTCAATAACCAAATAGCCTGGTAAAAGTAAACATGAGAATGACTACTAAGCTTTTAAGGCTTTATTTAAAAAAAAAAAATTACTGGGAGTTGGTGGTGCACACTTTTACTCCCAGCACTTGGGAGGCAGAGGCAGGCCGATCTCTGAGTTTGAGGCCAGTCTGGTCTACAGAGTGAGTTCCAGGGCAGGCTCCAAAGCAATACAGAGAAACCCTGTCTCGAAAAAACAAACAAACAAACAAAATCTAATTTTGTCAAAAAACTAAAAATGAAAACCATAGTTTACAGGAAATTAACTAAACAGTAATAGAATGGTCTCAGGAAGCTTGTCATGGAGTTCCATTCTTTAACATATAACTTGTTATCTATTTTTGCTTTATTTTACTACTTTCTTCCTGAATTCACCTTTTTTGAAGACAATGCTGTTAGAATATAGTGGGTATGTATGAGAATTTTAGGGGGTTGAGACAATGTCTCACTTTGTAGCCAAGGCTGGCCTCAAACTCACAGTGACCCTCTTGCCACAGCCTGCCCAGGGCAGGGTTTACAGGTGTGAATGAGGATAAGGGCCAACTTCAAGGGAGGAAAAGAACAGAGAAAGCATCCTCACTTAATCAGCATAAGTGGGGAGGGGGGTGGGAAAGAGAGAGAGAGAGACAGAGAGGGAGAGAGATCTGAAGGAGAGAGAGGGAGTGAGAGAGAGAAGGTTCAGGGGGATGTTGCGCCCGAGACCCCACCCTGGACCCGCCCACCATGACTACTCTTTCCACTGTCTCCCTTTCCTAGAACAGGACACCTGCTATGGCTTTTTATCTTTGTTAGGCTTTGCATCTTTTCTTCCTGGGATCTATAAAATTCTCTTATTAAACAAAGGACAATAGTCATCTTCCTTTGCTTTTATTTTTCTTTCTGTTAATAGCTTAAAAATTCATCAAGCACCTGCCAGTGTCTTTATTTCAAAAGCTTTGTTCTGTTAAGTATGTTTCCAGTCACTTAAGATGTATAATAATAATCCACTGAAGGAAGGGACAGGGAGCACAGGCCAGGTTTCATTTTCTGCGGGTGTGAGGAGAAAGATTTCCTCATTCAAGTGTGACCAATCTTGTCTTCATCTGAGCCCCCGAGGATGCTAAACTGAACTCACAAGGTTGAAAAGGAAAAACAGCATTCATAACTGAGCCTCTGTGCCTAGAGGGAGACAGCGCAGCTTCCTGAACTGTGAACACTGCGGTGACTGGAAGCCACCTGATTCAACATGTGTAAGTAACTTAACAATTAATGTCGGTGTTAACTGAAACATGCCCCTCAAGCTTAAAACCAGAAAAAAATCCATGGAAACAAAGCAAAATTTTGCACATGTGAGAATCCATCCTACTCTAGCTGTTACTGCCTCCCTGCCTTACCTCTGTGATCTCTATCTTCTTGGCCAGATCATCAAGGGAGAGCGAGCTGTCATCAGGAGGCAGGTTCTCCTGGAGACTGTAGGATGCTTCTTCAGGAGAAAGGTCTTGGAGGAGGTCAGAGTCGTCGTCCTGGATATCTTCATAGGAGAGGGACTCTTCGGCGTCTTTTAAGCATCCTTCCAAAAGGCTGTTCAGATAATCTTCTGTTTCCTTACTGACTAGGTCTTCCTTATCCCGCCCTTCTTCTGGGGCCATGCACACTTCTGGACACAGTGTCCTTACGTCAGACGCTTTACTGTCACCACAGAGTGCATTCTCAGAGCCAGGCTCCAAGTCAGTCTGACTGTGTGGTGATTTCCCATCAGAGGCTGGGAGAAGAGGCTGCTGCAACTCATCCAATTCACTGCTCTGAGGCAGGTCCCTGGGCAGAGCTTCAAGTACACCCTGAATGGGCAGGCAGAGTTCTTTTCGGTGTGCCTGTGAATATTTACCCTCTGAAATCAACACAGGAGGTATACTGTCACCGCCTGGGAAGAGCTGCGGCTCTGTCACTGGCTCACTAGGAGGAGACCCCTTAGGGTCTTGAGCCACACCAGGATGGTCCTCTGTGGGCGGGACTTGCAAGCAGCTGTCATCCTCACAGGCACTCTCAGCAGCATCTGGCCCTGTCCTGCTCCTGACTGTCTCTGGGGACTGGGTGTGGAGCTCCAGTGTGGCCCTGGTTCCGCAAACTGGCTCCTCCTCCTTATGCTCCTTCCTGGCAGTTTCTGGAAGGCTGGGGGAAACTGCCTGCCAGTCCATTTGATGAGAGCTGGGGCTGCTCTCCTGGGGTTGCTCTTCATGCTGGCCTCCGCTGGGCTCCATGCCAGGCCAGGTTTCAGTCTCTGCAGATGAAGAAAAAGGAGTTGCTGTTGAATTCCAAACAATGCTTTGATATCGAGGTGGAGAAGGAACAGATGAGTACATGTGTAACAAAAACTGATGCTAACCCTCTCAGACAAATGTTGTCTGTCGAGCTGCAAAGTCCTTAGGTAGAACATGCTAAGGATTTAATAAATAGTATTAATGTAGTAAAAAAAAAAATAATGAGGATCCTTCAGAAACATGTTAAAGTCAATGAATGATTCAGTCATTATAAATGAAATAGTTTAAAGTCTGAATTTTTTGGTCTTTTGCATTTAAATGAATATACTTAATGTGTTTGTGTGTGTGTGTGTGTGTGTGTGTGTGTGTGTGTGTGTGTGCTTTTTTGTGTACTGAAGTTAGAAAAGCTTTTTCCTTCTACTTCTACTCAAGGCACAGCATACTGAGTAAATATTTTTAAGCAACCTTAGTAATAATATAAAATGTAAGTAGAATTAAATCTAATCAGAATGAACAAGAGTTTGTTCAGATCAAATTTGCAATTTGAACATAGTGCCCTTAAAATGTGCTTTCAAAGACAATTTCTTAGTACCTGGTAGCAAAGGGGACATAAAAAGGACACATTTAGCCAAGAAGTAGAAACAGGTTTGAATTTCAGCCTTTCTATTTCTTTACAACAGTTAAAAACATTTATGTAAATAACAAATGGAAATTGCCCATTGGTTAACAGAGAAGCCTTCTTGCCTTGTTAAACATTTCATAAAGGCCTATAATTCCCACAAGAGTCAGAAGTGCATGATAAATAATTTTATTGCTTTTCAATTTTAATTTATTGAAACTTCAATTACCAAATGGCAATCCAAGTTGAGTCCCTAAACCAGACCAGGTATTTTTAAAGTACAGTCTCAGACACCAGAGAAGCCTCAGCTCTAAATCAGAGGTGGCATTAGGAGTTCTGGGTTTGACCCCTCCCCAGTTTTAAATATCACAGAGGTGAGAAGAACTGGCCATCTCTGGAGAGTCCTGCATCCCTGCTCTCTCCCACTCTCACGTTTGATTGCAAGGAAACAGGTGGGCAGCTGGTTCCAGTGGGTTGTATGCTTTGATCCCTGAGCTTAGTGGCATTCCCTTCTCAGATGGCAGCGTGTGGGGTGGGGGTTAGAACAAGGAAGGCCACAGCGGGTTGGAAAAGGGTCGAGCTCAGTCATACATTTCCAGTACCCAACGGTTCAGAGATAGCCCTCAAATCACATCTGCAGGATGCAGAGACTAAAGAGCCTGGGGAGCATAGTCCCTAGTTCCTGGTAATCACAAGGTTGAAGAGTGACACATAAGAGAGGGCTTGACAAACAACAATGACAAAATATGACATAAGATGCAAAGAGTTAAGAATTCTAAGCTGTGCTGGGAAGTCATTCACAGTATTGACAGTTTTCTTTAAAACACACTATTTTATCAAGTTGGAACAAAATTTCCTTCCTTGTCCAGGATTCAGTCCACACCCACTCATATGATGGATATTAGCAAGTGTTTTGATTGTGGAAGCCAGTGATAATCTCTACAGTTTACTCAGCTAAAGCATAAGCATTCAGTTAGAAGCCAGATGATCCAGGTTCTACCTAAGAATTAGGGCACCAAATAGATGGCTGAAAACTTGCCAACAACAAGCCTGTGCTAAAGCTGTGTGTGCATGGGGGGTGTGGTGTGTGGTAGTGGTGGACACCTCTGACCCTGGCACTCAGGAGGCAGAAGCAGGTGGATCTCTTTGAGTTCAAGGCCAGCCTGGTCTACAAATCTACACAGGGAAACCCTGTCTTGAAAACAAACAAACAAAAAAGCAACAAAAGTATAAAACAAAAAAGAAAGCTGTGTGTGTAGGATCTTTCACAACCCAGGCCAAGCTAGAACTCACCAGGTAACCAAGAAGGATGACTTTGAACTCCGTCCCTTCCTGCCTGCACCTCTCAGTTCTGGGATTATAGGTGTATACCACCATGTCTATTAAGTTGTAACAAAGCTTATCTTATCCTGTTCCTGATATAAAAACGACTAGAAAAGAAACACAAAGAACACAGTATGTGGGATTGACACAAAGCAATATCCTAATTTGTGTCAACTTTACAAGTACTTTTACAGAGGAAAGGGCTAATGGATGGCAACAGCATATCTGTATTATTAGGGATGCTCACTCAAAACTCCTGTCTCTTTCTAAATCAGGGCTCTCAGGATCATAAGGCTCATCATATAAATTGGTAATAAAATCAGCCACCAGGCTAAAAAAAATACCCTAAAAAACATATTTATTCCTAAAACTTTGTAAATGCATTTAGACAAAAGACTTTTGACTTAGACACAAAGTGGTATAAAACACATCTTAAATGGTTAACACACACACACACAAAACACACATTCACACACACAACACACACACTCATACACAGTGTATATTAGTGCTATAAATTATCCAGACAGAACTTCTTATTATGTAGATTTATAGAAAAGATCAGTCCTGGTTACTCAAATTGGTAATAATTGTTCTTTTTTCCTTTTTAAGCAAGAAAGGATGTTTAAATGTAAAGCATTTCAGACTATTTTTGTATCATCTTTTTTATATTCTGTTTTCCTTATTGATTACACAGAAATTATTTTTCTTTTTAAAAGAATTTATATTCTATTACTTCTAGTTATCTAAAAATAGAAATACATATAAAAATATGGGTTTTCTATTTTTATAAATATATATATATATATATATGTATATATATATATATATAAATGCAAAAAAATTCTAACACAATAATTCAGATCTAATACTTTAAAATACCACAGGCAACAGGCCTCCTGTCTCTTCCTCTCCAGTATAATCTGCAACAGACCTGGTTCTTTGGTTGTTGTTCCTCTTTCCTTTGGCTCTTCAGACATTGTCACCCGCGAAAAGCATTTTCCACCCAGTGACTTTTCCACAGGTGCTATCTAAGAAGTTTTCAAAAAGGAAAAAATTAATTACGACTTTTTGGAGAAACTGTTGCATTCAATTAGAAAATTGCAAGTGTCCTGAGAAAGGGTTTTCTAGTACAGTCCGGCCCCAGGCGTAAGATGCTGACATGCTCCCCGTGAATGCTTCCAGGAGAACCCCTCTTACCTTATGCTTGAACAAGAGAGGGCTGTAGAAGAGAAGAAAAACATAGTTTTAAAAGTACAGCATGCTTCCAAACAAATGTCACTGAAGTCACTATAATAAAATAGAGTGTCTCTGCATTCTAATGTCAGCGCAGAACATTTATTCCCAGGACTGACATACTGCCACTGGCTTCTGTGGTTCAAGGGACAGCTCCAGCATGTGTTTGTTTCCTCAGTCAGCCAGTTACCACTGAGCACCCCCAAACAAGGCATACGTGCTTCAAGCTCCCATAAATGTTCACAATTTCAGTTTAAAATAGATTATGGCAGAAGATAACTATATTGGAATTACTCATGGGTAGACAAGGGACTTTCAAGTGTTAGGTTTTAAAGAATCCCATGCTAACTGTATGCCAATAAAGGCATGGATGAAAGAAATCCCAGCTTTATTATTATCATAATATTTGGAATCAAGAAACAGCTCAAGTGTCTACAAACAAATGAAATGGGCATGGAAAGTGCCACGTGGTCATATAATAACCGGGTATAGCAGTGAAACAGCAAACCTGATACTGCACGTGATAAAATATAACCCAGAAACAATGACAGACTGAAGGATCTAGAAACAATAACTGTAAGCTGCACAATCCATTTGTATGAAATCACAGGCATGTAAACCCACATTACAGAACTCGGTTACCATCACAAGGGAGGGAAGAGGGAAATGTCAACTTGGTTCTTCAAGGAAAGAGCCTTCTGAGAGGTTAGAATGTTTGTGTGCTGGATCCTGTTAGGAGTGCTAGTCAGACTATGTTAGGGAAAAATTTACCACGCTCATACACTGAACTATAAATAACGAGACATAATCTGGGATACAATGATCTAAAGATACCATGCTCATGGCATATTCAAGTAAATACTTCAAATATTTACCACACACTAATAAGCCATGAGTTCCTTCAGGAGGGCAGCAGGAGGCATTGAGTATATAAAAAGTATAAAAAATAAATTATCTTTAAAGGCTTCTACTCTTCTAAAGGTTATAAAAATGGAAATGTAAAATAGAAAGCTAACGTAGGAACTTCCTAAGAAAATGAGTTACAGTTCAGAATCCTGGAAGAGACTGCTGCACAGGTTCAAACTGCCTAGCACAGAGCACCCATCTTCAGAGATCTGAATGGATACTTCCATCCCAACTTCTATCACCTTTCAAGGTTGGTCTCCAGGATGGCTACCCCCAAGCAAACACCCGCTCTTCTATAATTACTTGGGACTGTTTCATTATCAACACGAGCTTTAGTTTCCTGCCCATTATTCTGAAGAGGAGACCAAGTTACCAGAAGAACAGAGAGCCCTTTATCCAAGGGACATGGGGAACTCAGGACCGAAGCCTGGAGAGTACATCAAAGTTTAAAAACTTGCCTTAGAGAAGGGAATGGGGAGGGGGATTTGAGGGCACAGTGTGGGACACAAAGGGAGAGGGGGTCAACCAAGAGGGAAAAAGGCCGAGAGAAAGGGTTGATTAATTTTAAAAACCTATCTCCTTGACATGAACCAAGCAATTGGAAAGTACCTGGTAATGAAGTTTCCCTTCATTTAGGTTACATATTGCATACTGTGCTTTTTAAAGACTGTTCCTTTGACGGGGGTTACAACTTTTTTTTAACCACACACACACTAGAAAATAGCCTAAACAACAATAATCAACATACAGAAATAGATATTTAATGAGGTTAAAGTAATAAAGTAAATAGAGATTATAAAAACTAATAACAGAAAAAAAAAGTCCCAATGTGCAACTTGGATCATTTGGCTTTCTGATCTTACTCAAAATGTATCAAAATTATCAGCGTGTCTAGTTAGAAGGCTCCTTTGAGCCCATGTAAACCTAGTGAAGTCCAGAAAGAACTCTTTACATTCCATTATACTCAGTTGAATTTCTTAAGAAGAAAATGAAGAAATGCATCACAAATTTCAATACTCAATATAATGTATATCTTCAATATTCTCCAACTAACTTTTAAATTATGACATACTCACTCTTGATGAGTTGTACAAATTTTAGCAAGCTGTTCGAAATCTTCACCATTAAACCCCTTTTCTGAATTCCTCAGAGGCGTCACTGAATGTGGCTGGACAGCTTTCCATTTTGTTTCTAAATTTAAAACATTTGTTAGTCACTGGCTCTTACAAAACTGGGCTCCTCTGGAATAATTAACATGCAACTACCTTCTCAAGCAACCCAAAAAGTTAACACAGAAAGAGCTAAATAATTACTTCACAGTACATGTAAACACCATTCTACAAACAAAATTAGCCAGGAGTGCATGCAGAAGAAATGAAAACAGAGCTACAAAGAGCAAGATCCAAAGAAAATACCGTCTGCCTCCCATCTCTCTCATGGTGCTGGGGGAAGTCATGGCCTTGCACTTGCTAGGCAGGCTCTCAAGACACTAAACTGCATGCTGGGCCTGTGTTTTTAAAAGTAACTTGACTGTGTAACTTCCATTCTTTTAACATGTAAAATCAGGACAGTATGCTCGCTCTCTGGGTAGTGAGTTGCTACATTACTGATAATTTCCAGCTCCAGTCAGTTTGTACTTACCCCATTGTTCCTGAATGGCAGAAAGATTTGCAAGCAGTTGCTCATGATACAATCGTTCAAGCTGAATGAATTTCATTGCTTTCTCATCTGGATAGAAAAGTTAAGGAAATAGACATCAAGACTATCTACACAAAACCCCACGTTTGCAAAGGAATGTCCTATAGAAGACAAGAAATGTGCACCTCTGATCCCCCCCAAAAACAACAACAGCAACAACAAAAACAAAAAAAAACAAACAAGAAGGCTCTATATTTTTTTAAATTTAAGCGTATCTGACATGAGGTTTCCTGGCTTTGGAGTAAGTACATTTTATTGTAACACACGATGTAGAGTACTTGGGTTCACAAGGAAACAGACACGAAAGGTTTTACTCAAGGACTGTCCGCCTGGCAATGGGCTGGCAGCCATCATTAAAGCCATTGGAAAGAGGACCACAAGGGATCCTAGAGTCTGTGCTTTCCTTAATTTTTCTCCTTAAATGACTCCCTGACTCTGAGACCCTTCAGGCAATTGTTCCTTTGTGGTTTCATGACCCTTTACTTACTTTCCATTGGACATTTTTCTCCCGAGTCAAAAGTATGAAATGTTAAATAAGGGAAACATGGCATGGGTCTTGTATAAAAAATTAACTCACCCCAGTGACTTTCCTAATTATAACAGAATTCCTTTTTTTTTTTTTTTTTTTTTTTTGGTTGATCTTCTTATGACCTTTTGGCTTTCCATCTGTACCACATGAACTTGCATCTTAGGAGGTTGAAAAACACTGTCCAAATGCCCAGCTTCCTCTGGGCAATGTTCTAAATGTTGACCCAGAAAAAAAGAAGAGAGGATCGGGAGGTTTAGCTTTGTGTCCTTCCCACAAACACCAAGAGGTTCATCTCTCCCTCTCTGTCACCTTAAGGACCCTTGTGTCTAGGAGAAGCAGAACAACTCTGCTCCTTCCACCCAGGACCAAATGCTCCACAGTCCAAAGCTTACATGGGATCTCCTTGAAAACACTATTTTGTTGGTTGCTAGTGAAGAACTAATCTAATCTTCCCTTGGCAGCGACATACAGCCATGCATCGTGGGACATTTCTGTCAGTGAGGAACCATTAAAAGATAAATTTGAATTGCCTGATGATGCAGGCGCACCTTACCATGTTGCTCCTCCAACAACAAAAGAGTGGGATGATGCCTTTCTCTGGACATAGACCCACTGTTGAGCAGCTTGGGACCACTGCTGCTGTGATTGGTCCACGGAGTTACTGTGGCATGCTCCATTAAGTGCACACTTGACTCGTATTAAGAGTGAGAGGAATGAACAGACTTTTAAAGCTTTCCTTCTCGGCAGCATGTGTTTTGCCCATTCCCTTGAATGTAAAGGTTCAGTGTTGGTAAAACTAGGTGTTCTGAATGAAAGCCAAGTTTAGGTAGCTCTAGGGGGTTTTCTGGAGTGACCTATTTCCTACACCTTGCTCTTTGAGGCGGTTACAAGGGCACACGCAACTGCCAAACACCACCAAAACCATATGGTCTGCACATCTTGTTGCACAGACCTCAACTTAGAAAAAAACAAAACAAAACAGATGGATTCCTCAAACATTCTATGAATGTCTGTCTGGAGTTAAGAAAAGGATACAATCCTCTTCCTGGAAATAGGTCTCAGCTACCTGAAAAGACAAAGGAAGAAATTTAATATGAGTGAAAGGACAAACTTGGGAGGCAGTAAGATCTTGTGAGGTTGCTTTGATAGAGTACTAACAAAAACACTTTCACATTCAAAGCTCAGAGGACTTCGTAGGTGTAGGACACAATCCTTAGGTCTCCATCAAGCAAATTGAGCACAGGCCTTCTCGGCCTCCATGCCACCATGTTCTAGTCTAGTTCAAGTTGTAACAAGTATCACTTAGTCCCTAAAGTTTAACTCTTAAGGATGAGGGGAAAGCTACAAGGGAGCAATGGGGCGAAAAGGTTAAAAAGATTATTCTATTATAAATTATAAGTTAGAAACGGGGTCAGTGAGATGGATCAGTAGGGAAAGATGCATCCACCACAGCTGGCAATTGAGTTCAACCCATGTGACCCCCATGGTGGAGGAGAGAACAACTTTCCCTAAGCTGCCCTCTGACCTCTGCATGTGCACCAGGGAACACACTCTGACACACACACACACACACACACACAAATAAATAAGGGCCAAAATGTCACATTACATGAGAACTTACACTATTCATTTCATTTCTAGTTTAAAAACTACCAGCCAGCTCAGAACCTCATGGGGCACTGGTGTCTGTGTATGTTTGAGACTAGGTCTCTCGTAGCCAAGGCTGGCCTTGAATGCCATATGCATCTGAGGGTGGCCATGACTCCTGATCCTCTTGCTCCTGTGTTTCAAGTGGTAGGGTTTTAAGTAGCACCGCCATATAGGCATGGGTATGTTGTGATGTCTTTATTTATTTATTTATTTATTATTTTTTCTTTGACTATGTCTGTGTATGACCATGCACTAGAGTTTGACATGGGGTGCTGTGGTAGTTTGAATGTAATTGGCCCCCATAAACTCATAGGGAGTGGCATTATTTGGAGGTGTGGCTTTGTTAGAGTAGGTATGGCTTTGTTGGAAGAGGTGTATCACTGTTGGGGTGGGCTTTGAGGTTTCATATATACTCAAGCCACCACCCAGTGTCTCAGACCACTTCCTGTTGCCTGCAGGTCAAGATGCAGGTAAAAACTCTCAGCTCCTCCTCCAGCACCATGTTTGCCTGCGTGCTGTTAAGCTTTGCCATGATGACAACAGATTAAACCTCAGTAAGTCACTCCAATGAAATGTGTCGTTTATAAGAGTTCCTGTGGAAACCTAAGAATTGTTTTCCACCTTTATTATTGGTATTATTTTTGAGACTAGGTCTCACTATGTAGCCCAGGCTGGCCTCAGCTTCACAGAGATCCACCTGTCTCTGCCTCCCAAGTGCTGGGATTAAAGGTATATGCCACCATTTCCATCCAGATCCCTTATTTTTTGAGTCAAGGTGTGTAACTGGACCTGGAGCTCACTGACTGGCTACACTGACTGGCCAGTTAGCTCTGGGTACTTGCTTGACACAGATGCTGGGGGTCCAGACCCAGGTTCTCAGGCTTAAACAGCAGGCACTTTCCTGTGTGTCACCGTGCCTGGGTGTGCATGTGTGTGCAGGCAGGTGCCTGCAGAAGCCAGGGGCATTTGATCTCCTGGAGCTGGAGTTACAGGCACCTGTGATCCATCTAGTGTAGGTTCTGGTAATTAAACTCAGGTTCTCTGGAAGACATTACATGCTCTTAACTGCTAAACTATTTTCTCCAGTACCATGCCTAGACCTATTTACTTTTTGAGACAAGATCTCTTATAGCACAGGCTAGCCTGTAATTCATTATGTAGCCAAGGATGACTTTGAACTGCTGATGTTTTGACTTCTACTCCCCGAGTGCTAATTTCAGGCCCAGTGTCGTATTGCTATTTTTTAAAAGGCCAGGCTAGCTAGGTGATAGTGCTTGCCCAGCACGCTGCAGGCTCTGAATCCATTCCCAGTAAATAAAGGTTGGGGATGTAGCTCAGTGGCACTTTGCCTAGTATGTGAGGATCAATTCCCAGAACAACAAAAGGGAGAGAGAAGAAGAGGGCAAATGAAATGTCAACAGTTGATAAGGCGCAATGACACACACACACACACACACACACACACACACACACACACACACACACACACACACAGGAGCCTAGTCTCAGGAGCTGAGGCCAGAAATAGCTTCTCACTTACCACTTTCCTTCTAAAGGATTTTTAAATGAAAACAAAACTTAGTCAGGCATGCACCTTAATCCCGCTACTGAGGATAAGGCTACTGAGGATAATAGCTTAAGCCCATGAGTTCAGGGTCAGCCTGGGCAGAAAGAGCCCTGTCACAAACACAATTAATTAATTAAAATTTCTTTGATTAAAAAACTCTGAACTCCTGCTGGGCAGTGGTGGCCCATGCCTTAAATCCCAGCACTTGGGAGGCAGAGGCAGGTGGGTTTCTGTGAGTTCAAGGCCAACCTGGTCTACAAGAGCAAGTTCCAAGATAGCAAGGTCTACACAGAGAAACCCTGTCTGGAAAAATAAAAACACAAAGAAACAAGCAAAGAAAAAACTCTGAACACCTAAAACGTCTCCAGTATAGTTTTGGCCCTCGGTTTCACACTTGTTTCCTTCCTACAACTGGCCTGGTCTTGCAATCACACGTGCTGTGGCATTAATTTCCCACTATATGCTCATGAATCCAATAGTACATCATTTAGCAAATGTCTATCTTAGAATCAAGAATGTACAAAATAGAGTAAAAGATTACTTTAAAAGCACCATTTAATTCCATATATCCAACTTCCCTCATCTTTCCTATGTTGCTAGTTATCTCGAAACAGACAGCAGGACAATCACGGGACATGATAGTCTCTGTTCTCTGCTGGTGAGCGGCAGGTATTGACGAACTCTTTATGTCTTGGAATGCTGTGCTTTTTGAGTTATGCCCGTTCCCAGGCTACACTTTGCAGCTAACATACTTGCAGATGAAAAGTGAAAAGCCCAAGTTACTTTTTTCTCCACTGAATAACCACTTTAAATAATTTCATTTGGGCCGGAACCTTAAATAATTGTGCTACTGTAAGAGTCCAAATTTGCCTTTTCCTCTAATAAGCAGCAACTTCTGCCATGGATGTCAAAGGTGCTTCGTGGGACAGTAGCGGAGTTCTGAGACATGGGTTGACCACAGTGCTGATGTTGCAGCTAAATGCAGGATTGACGTTCTGTGTCCAAACAAGTGGGTGGACCAGGAAGGGAGCTAGCTGTAGAGCACTTGCTTGGAGTGGTTCAAGCCGTGGGGTCACACAGTGCAGGCAAGCAAGGAAATACAAAGATAATTGTAGTGATTATCTCAGTACTCTGCCCTGCAATGCCTACCACAAGGACCACTGCGTTTTAGTTTTCACCACCGTTAATAATGCACACTGAATTTTTCGGTTGAGAAGCAGAATTTTTATGTAGTAAGCAGATCCATTGCTTATTCTGTGTGTCCACACGTAAATTTTACTTTTAGATTTAAAAAAAAAAAAAAGGACTGAAAGAGATTTTTTTTAGTATCTTGATAAGATAAAGTTTATGACCAGACCAGTAAACTAAAATATTGATAAAGTTTAGCATAATTTCTGACACTTAAAATACCCCACATAAATGTTTTTTTTTTTTACATTCCTCTACAGTGCTGTTATATTAATTACTGTGTGTGTGTGTCTGCTATGTGTGGCGGTCAGAGGACAGTCTGCAGGACTTGGTTCCCTCTTCCACCATCAGAGTCCCGGGGACTGGCTCAGGCTTGTTGACAAGCACCTTTGTGGTGTGAGCTACTTTCTACTTTCAGAACAATTTCTACTGACTCCTCCAGGCCTCTAGTTAAAAAAAAAAAAAAAAAAAAAAAAAAAAAGGATTTCATTTGTAGACCAATTATCTCTATTTTCCAGGCACCTGCCAGTACAAAGAAAAATAAAGTGGTTGTTGAACTCATAAAAGCAAAAAAAAAAAAAAAAGGAACAATTTGGTCAGGTTTCCCATGAGAAATAGTATGTGAGCTGGGCGTTGGTGGCTCACACCTTTAATCCCAGAACTCAGAGGTGGATCTCTGTGAGTTCAAGGCCAGCCTAGGCTATAGACCTAGTTCCAGGACAGGCTCCAAAACAATACAGAGAACCCTGTCTCAAAAAACCAAAAAGAAAGAAGTACGTGTAGACAAAAATTTTAGCACTTTATATATTAGTTTAAGTTAAAAACAAAGAAGACAATAAAATATCCATACATTTTCACTATAAACTTGGAGTCTATATTTTACTTTGAAAAATTTTAAAGTGATAAATTGTTTTTTAAGAGTCTATTTATCAAATCATTCTACTATGTTAGAGATATATTAATATGAATTACAGTAAACTGCTAATATTTCGCCATTTTGAAATACTGACTGATTGGAAGTCTAAACTGTACAGTGGTTTAAGATTTTGCTCATGTAGACAAAAAGTTACAGATGTGCAATAATGCAGGTTCAGATTGAAAAAAAAAAAACCCTCAAAACAGGTTACAGAGCATTTAACAATGTGCATAGGCTTAAGAAAAAGGAAAAGGATACAGAGAGTCATAAATAATAGTTTAAAAGTAATAAAGTCATCAAAGAGTAAAGTAATAATAACAATAAAAAAGAATAAGCCACATAGAGATGGGAAATAAACAGGGAGCCTGGATGACTTTTTAAATTGCTGATAAGCAAACGACACTACTGAGAGACACGGGATTGTGAAAGGGACTGCTGAAATAAACAGCCTAGAATCTAAGAATGCCTTAACTTTAAAATGGAACTCAAAAAATGTATTGCTTAGGGGAAGAGGTTGTGTCTTTTGCTTCCATAGGAAACAAAAAGCTATAGATTACTTCAAAATTAATAAAGATCATATTTGACTAGGGAAGACGTCCTGAGGATCTTGGATGCAGACACGAGGGAGGAAGCCAGGAAAGACTACAGGACAGCTCTGAGACTGGATGAGACATGATAAACCTCGTTGGCTACAGAGTTGTCATAACAGTGTGGTTATACAGTCCAAATAACCTTATAAACATAA